GACGTGGTCGCCTCGGCCTGATCTTACGCTGCAGGTGCCTCGGCTACTGTGCACACCCTCACGCCTCGAAGCTTTTCCCGCTTGCTCATCTTTCAGATGTGACGGCTTTGCAATCCTTGGCAAATTTCGCAATATTGTGTCTTATGAGGATATCACGGCATCTGAAATCACGGCCCACCGTATGCGATCTTCAATCGAAGGGACGACCGAGATATGAAAATCGGCAAATAAGTCATCCTCCACGGGGTAAAACCGGTTCAAGAATCGAGCACATGTTCGGGGTAAACCCGACCATGCGGGCTTGAGGCGGCTCATTCGCGGCGACACGTGCGAATTGGGAACAGTTTCCTGAGCCAAGCCTTTCCTGCTGCGAACTGGAGGCCGCCCCCAAGAATATTGTTCGGGTGCGTCCTGCTTGCTTGTCCGGGGAAGGCACTGCACATAAACGAAACAGGTCTCCTCCCATGTTTGCCGTATTCAACCAACTGCCCAAAGCCGAGTCCCTACGCACTGAAACGCCGCATTTTCAACCCGGCGGACAGCCAGCAGTAAGGAACCACTAGAAGTGGAGGGCCGCCGGCCATAGTGGATTACAGAGACTGGTTATGTGGGAATGTGAAACGGGGTCGTGTCTGACTACCAACTCATCCAGGAGAAAGTGGGCCAAAACACCAAAGGCCTCCCAGTCCAGTTTGTGACAACTTGACGGAAGCAGAAAAGGCACCAGTAACCGCTCGTTTTATCGCAACCCGCGGACAACTTGAGAGCTGAGGGAATGATCAAGTGCATTCTCGTCGTCAAGTGATACCGTTTTATCACAACCTACGGGCAGCAGGAGTTGAGCGAAGTAATCAAACGTACCCTCGTCATCAAGCGGTACCGGTTTCCGTTGTGGCTTCATCCTGATGGGTAAACCCCTTTGCCAGTCAAACGTCAGGATACACACTGCTTCACGTTGTGGGCCAATTCTCAGTATACTAGTATTCGTCCTTGACAGCGCTTACTGCATGATATGACTCCATGGCGGCTACTAGAGCTATGCCCGCAAATTATGCCGGCAGATGAAAAGAGAGCGGGAACAATGCCCACATCAAGCACTTCTAGCCCGTTGCAAAGAGGGCCTCTGTTGCTTTTGAACCAACTAGCTCTTCATGTTGACCGAGCCTCCAAAGATTCCAGGGCCACACATCGGGATGGTGGGCGGTTAGCTAGATAGCAAAGATCCAGAACATGACATTGTAGCGCCTCCCACTCTCGCCTATCTCAATGACAATACCCTTTTTGGGGGTGTACCCATGCAGTGAAAGCCATCCCGCGCCTTGGTAGTTGATCGTGAGCTTGGCGGCGCCGCCACGATGGTAAAACCTGCAAAGAGTTTGTCAAGCTACGCTGATCCTGGGCAAGGGTTAATTGCGGCGGCGAGATTCTCCGGCATCGCGAGTCTCGTACAAACTGAGTATATTGGTGGAGATATATTTTAAAGCATCCCAGGGCAACGCAAAGTTTTTGTTTTGCCCAAGTCCGTTAACTCCTAATGCAGACGACGTCGAGTTGCCAAGCCACCGCCTTGGTCACGATGTTCGAGTTTGAGGAGGCACACGGTGCTGCAGAAAGCGAACAAGGTGCTTAGCAGGCAGCTTAGGGGAACTAGTCACCGGCGAAGAAAGAGCACGGGGCAGCAACAGAGCAGAGTTTCGAGCGTCTCAAAAAGACGTAGACGCCGAGGAGCTCATCATGAACGGAACTTTGGTCTCCAACACTTCCGGATATGACGGCCCAATAACTGGCATTCAAGCTCCTGTATGAAAGAGGAGGAGAGACGGAATGACCCAATCAACGAGCGACTTGTGGGTTGCTCAGGGCTTGCGCAGATTTTCAGATGCCGAGATGGGAGCTTATTTGCCTCTAGAGTGCGACATCTCTTGCGAGATGTTGCAACAACTGGGACCGGATCAGACGAAGGTAACATGGGAACACGGGGCAACAAAAGGTCCTGGAGACCGGTTTGGACGGCAGAGGCCTGCGAAATGTGGCGAGAGTCAGGTTTTGGAAGGGGACCCGTGCGTGCTCACTCGTCAAGGGGTATAGCATAATCCAAGACCAATAGCAAAAGTAGCCGACTCCGATACTGGTCAGCCAGGGACTGGGAGAGTCCTCGGGTGTTAGGAGGCAAGGAGGATGGATGGCCAGGCCTGCCAGTCCAACAGGGGACGCCAGAACGAGACGAATGCGTCTAATTGAGGAGTGAGCAACGGAATGGGAAGCAGTTTTCTGCGAGTGATAAGGCCTTTGAGGAGTCCTATGACGCTCTGATTCCAGAAGGAATTGGGTGTTCGTTAGCTCGCGGCGAAGGGCACAATTGGTTTGGAAAGGGCGAAACTAAAAATCTGGGCAAAACGCCCAGAAATGTGTGTTTATCTCGCCCAGATCTGGCAGCCGAAGGAATGACAAGGGGCCCCAAGCCAATAACAAGACTCTACTACTGGGTGGGCATGAGTGCCGAAGAGCCTCACCTGCTGTCGACCCCCTGGGTCAACTGTAATGTGGTAACATCACCAAAACTATGTATCGTTCCAATAGTCCGTCACCTGTCCAAGTCTTTTCTGCTTTTCCTTTTGTCAGGGTAACAGTAGAGTTACGGATTGGAGGATCGCCAGAGTCAATGATTAAGCGTAACGGGAAGTCAGCCAATCCAGCTTTTGAGCGAGATGCTCGCAATGGCTCGCTGTTTTCTGATTTAGGTATGCCTTACCATACCTTCGCCTTGCCTCACCTTCTCTTCCTCCCCCGCATCCCCTTGTATCGGTGCCTGACATGTTCATTGAACAGACAGACAAACCTAGCTTACTTACTAACCTCAGATCTGAGCTGAAGCTTCAGCTGCCGGAACGTACCTTGATTTTCACCCAGAATTAGGGTCACGAATGAGAAACGGCCAAGTTGAATGGGATGGTGTGTGGCCGGTCCTTTGCGAGGACATGTGTATCGTGCTCGATGCGTTAGAGATACAACTCAAGTTCGGATTTCCAGACACTTAGGCCTCTGGGCCCCTGGACCTGGAGAGAGAACAGCAGAATAGTTGAATTACTACGTAGACGTGCGCCGCTTCAACACTTGCGGCGCAACGCTTCAGCGCTGTTCCAGCACCTGCAGCGAGGACTCATCAGTGCACCGAGCGCTTTTTTAACATCCGCCTACTACCTTAGTACTAGTGTAATAGTAAGTGACTTCTCGACTGAAGGGGGGAAAGTGGGGGAGAAGATGACCAAAGAGGCTAGGCCCAAAGTGTCAGTCTGGAAGACTTCCCGAGTTGGCGCCAGGCCCTCCCTTGTCCTGAAACCCGCTCTTTCCCACGCTGAGACGCATGGCCCCCTGCAAGTCTGGTCGCAGCATCGTAAAGAGCCCCCTTCGAAATGCCGGCCGATATGCCCGCGCTAACATGGTCTCCGCAATCACCATATTGCCGTCTGCTAGCGTTCACAGACACCTCCCTCATCCCAATTCAGTTCTTCGAAACCGCAGCATCGACAGCGGACTGGCCGGTCCTCTGTCTCATCTCTACACACACACACACACACACACACAAGTCACGCTCTCTCTCTTTCTCCCTCTCGCACACACAAACACACAGAGAGAGTGCTCGTTTCTTCTTCGCCCCCGTCTTGCCCGTCATGGACCCCCGTCGAGATCTTCACCACGGTCACGCTGTGTTCACTAGGGTATCCTTGGATCCCCTGAGGCTTTCCAGTCCGGTCTTCTATCTCGCTGGCCGCCGGTCTTCCCCCGCCGGTGTGAGGATGAGGCTACACCCATACCGTCTCGCCCTCTCCTTGCCTCCAGAGTCTCGGTCTTCAGGAGGAAACCCTTATCCATTTGAGGCATGATCGGCCCTTTCAAGCTTTTGGCTCTCGTCTGCTCCAGCTGCCCACTGGTTCGAGTCGATAGAAAACCCCATTCCTTCCCACCGTATGGAATACCTTCCACCATCCATGCCGCGTGTCGGGTCTGGCCAGGGACCCTGCCTCTACGACGCCAGGGGATCAGTGCCGGTTAGACCAGAAGCTCCCGCAGGAGACAGGGGGAAGAGGGAGGGGAGGTCAGAAGGGGGAGGGAAGGGGGTGGACCTTCCATGTTCTCGCCAGCTCGACCCTTTCTTTACCTACAGCTTGGTATTGTTGCAAGTATGATGTCTTCGGACAGCGGCTACAATTCATCACCATCATACTACGTAGTAGACTCCCAATGCCAAGCCAGGTCTGAGCAGAAGACGGACCTTGACCTCACGGTCGGAATTCAAGAATGAAGAGACGGAGCATGGAGTGAATGACGAATCACTGCTTCGCTCCAATGCCTCCTCTCTGGCGAGACAAAGCCACCACGCGAGTGACCGCTGACTGATGCTCCACGGACCACCCACTAAAGCGCCACACCCATCGGCTTTCGCGTGCCAGTTCCTGCGCCAGTCCCAGCTAGTGCTGGTGCCCGCCGGGGGTGCCTGGATCTATCCCTGAAGCACCCTCGGGGGCATCTGTCATGCAGCATGGGTCTCCCCGCGCATGGTGGATAGATGATCGACCCAATCTGATACATACTGTCGCCTCTCTCGCTGCTTCTCTTCCTCCCTCTCTTCTCCCTCTTTTTCCTCCGTTGCTTGCTAACTACACCGTGTGTTTGGTGTTCACCACCAGTTTTCTTTCTTTCTCCATTCTTCACTTACCAAGGCCGGCCTTATTCTTTTCTATTCTTCTAGACCCCTCTGCTGGCACTGTCGTCTATTCGTCTTGTATCTTTTACTTTCGACCTCTCATTTCCTTCCTACGATTGACTCGATTTTTTCCCCCCTTATTCTCGCCCTCGACCTCCTGCTGCTGTATCTTGAATTCTCCACGCTTACCGTCTCATCACACTACCGAATATCGTAAACCGAAGGCCATGGTTGGAACCGATTGACAAAAGGACATCTCTTGGCGACTATCTTCGGTCCGGATTGGAAGGATAGGATGATCGAGGAAAAGGGCATGGCTCCCCACGCAATCCAACAGGACCAAAAGTCCTCCCGGAGAAGAGCCTTGCGCCCCGCCAACATTCACATCCCCCGTCAGATTACAGAACGTGATGAAGAGTCCGACGAGGAATACGCAACGTCAGTACGGAGAGCTGCAGGTGGTCTTTGGAAGAGAAATCCATACAGCAGCCACGACTACGTCGATAATGTAGAGGCTCGGTCAGACAGCGACAGCGACGACCCAAGGAGGAAGAACAATAAGAACCAGCAGCCACAACGACAACAGCAACAACCACCCTCGAGCCCGGACACGCCCAAGGCTAGACCGTCAAACAATGTAGCAATCCCCGACTCGCAAATACCTGTAGCAACGGTCCGATTGGGGGTCCCTGCTGTATCAGGACGCCCCCGAGCCTCGATCAAACCCCCGATCGCTCTTCCGCAATTGTCGGCTCCTCCACTGCGAGTGTCCGCCGCTCCTCAGATGTCAGCACCCCCCGTGGTCCTTCCAGTCGTGCCAAACCTTCAACCAGCTGTGCCAAACACCACGCCAAGTGCGTCAAGGCCCGCCCCAGCCTTCGGGACGCCCGTGGCTAACCCTGTCAACAACCCGGCGAGACGTCCAGCTGAACCTGAGGAGCCGCCACCACCGCCACCCCCGGTTCTTGCTCCGGGAGAGCCTGATCCTCCTCCGCCTCCGCCTCCTGAGCCTGAACCTGGTCTTCCTCCCCCTCCTCCTCCTCCTCCACCACCACCACCAGTCCCGACGGCGACTATGACTGTAACGGCCCCGGCACGTACAGTCATCTTGGTCTCAACCATGACGGTAAGCAATTTTTACTTGGGCAAGATTGAGTGTGTGTGGCTGACCTTGGAAGCCCAAATTGGACACTTACCCAACACCATCATTACCTCCAGCTTCTACTCCGCCCAAAATTACTGGTCTCCCACCCTTGCCACCAGTTGAGCCGTCCGCTCCGAGGAAGGGCATCGATGGACATACCACACCCACGGTCACAGCTACTTTGGCATCGGCTGTGATTCCCGCCGAAACTATTTCAGCTCTTCCTGGGCAGGCTGCTAGTGGACGCCCAGACAAAGATGATGGTAGACCACCGCGTATGAACCCGGAAACCGAACATGCTCTAATTGCCGTCGGTTCAATCGGTAAGCATGCTCATTCATCCATGTGGTTCTATGACTGACACGTACTAGGATCCTTCATCTTTGCATCATTCCTCGTTTGGATTGTATGGAGGACTCTCAAGAGAGCAGCTCGGAGGAGAAGAGACAGAGAGTCTGCCTTTCGAGGCGACAGACCGGGACTTGGTTCTAAAATTCCATTTTTCAAGAACCGGTCTGCTGGTGGTGGATGGGAGAACCTGGATGGTCGTCAAAGCCAGATGCCAACGCAGTACGCAAAGGGGGCCGAAGCTGGAGGGCCCTTACGGTTAAACACTAACTTTTATGGCCCCGATGGAAAGCCGGCGGGCGGCAACTTCGTTGCAGACCCAGCATATGGCGGCGCGTACATGTCACCAGCAGATAATCGGGGTAGCCCTGTGACTATCAGTCCGGCCACCACATTACAGATGCGTATGAACGCAATGAATGGGCAGGGCACGTTCAATAGCCAAAGCGCCTATACCAGCCAGGTTGGGACATACGACAACCAGACGGGCACATTCGTCAGCCATGCGCCTAGCCAATCCCTAACCCAAATCATCGGACAGTATGGCACTACCACCGATCCTAGCTCGACCCTGAGGTCAGGCATGGGCGCTGGAGCCTTTTTCAATCAATCAGAGTTGGCCCGTCAACCATCTGACGCTTACGATCCCACGAGGAGGCAGGTAAACAGGGCAAGCGAGCTGTCGTCGATCTCATCAGGCTTCGGCGATGGAGATATTGTAGTGCCCAGCATGGCACTGCAACCGCCCCCGCCAGTCTCTCAGTCACTGAGAGCTAGTCAGAACGGTGTCGGCCGGTTCTCATGGATAAGTAAGAGCAACCGTGACACGGTGTATACTGAGGCCAGCGAAGACTTGCCACCGAGGTTCAGAACGGTCAACAGCTGGGTCAACCAGCAAACCGGCCGCATCAAGAGGGCACAGGCACGGCCAGACACGGATGAAGACGTACCACCAGTGCCTGGGCTTCCGGCTGGGACAGGCCAAAATGGCCTCCCGCCCGAGCCCCAATTTACGATGATGATGCCTGACGGGGAGATACCAAGACGACCTGATCTGGAGCGCAACGCGTCCTAGCCCGGTGTGATAGGGCGACAGTTACTTTTCTTTGTTTTCATACCCAAGCACAGCGCTCAAAGGCAGGAGTCAATGGAGGGGCCAAAGGAGATTTTGTTTAATACCACCACCACCATCATCATCATCATCATCATCATCATCATACTATCCATACTACACGCAAACATATGACAGACTTTCAAGAGGTGGTAGTTAAAATCAACATCACTGTTACCAAAAGTATTTGTGTGCACCGCCTCCTCTTCAAGCCTGGCGCTTGGGAGTCGATACACAGTTTTGACAATCACAAACGCTCGTGGCTTGCAACTGCCAATGTACAAATAGTCGAAAGCGGCGAGGGGTGGAGGGGGCAAATATAGGGGATTTTGTTGTCACAGTAATCCAAAAAAGAAAAGCAAATGCACAATATAGTTCTCTGAAACAGTCCATCGCAGCGGTGAAGTGAGGAGCAAGTTGGGTAAAGCGAATGCTCTCACTAGTGGCTCACGAGTGTCAGGCAATTGGGATGCTGAGTTGTTGGTTAATTTGTCGCTCATAATTCGTGTTTCTTTTCATGGAGACATGCCGATTGTCCGGGATCAGGCCTCGTCAGAACTTGGAAGAGTTGATGCGAAAAGCCAAGCATCATGATGAAGTCTCGTCGTCATCGTTGTCGATTTAAATGCATAAGGCACACACTACCGGCCAATGATTCAATCATCTAAAGGTGTGAACAGGCCGGTTATGAGAAGAGTATTTCAGCCCTCGATGTAATTTCTTTCCTTCCTATCCCTTGACCCATATCTACCATTAAGGAGTTGAATCGTCGTCCTCTTTACAGAACCAATTGTATGCTGAACCAGCCCCAGGTGAAGGACAAGTGGTCAAGATGATGGGGAGACATCAACTTTCAGAAAGGACCATGACGTGCAATGCCAAGACGGACCAACGAACAGCGCTCTCTACCAAACATGTAAAGGCTTACGCACCACCATGGCCCAACCGAGGCGCCGTTCTTTGTCAATCATCACGCATTATGGAGGAAGTCCAAGATGCCTCATCCCGGAATGCACAGAGTCAATTAAAGACAGCCGCAGAGAGAGGTGAGAATCCCCATTGGCCGCGCGTTTCGGAAACGGCAGTTCCAAAACATGTATGGGTCCTCGGGCCTCTTGTCTCTCATTCAGCATCTCTACACAGCCGCAATGAGAATCCGTCTGTCCCAAGCGAGCTGACGAATTAAAGAACGGCAGCCAGCTTTGAGAGTGGGATTTTCGATAAAGGAGACCCGAGTTACTGTGCGCTGTGGCGGAGCTGGTAGGAATTATTGTGGGGGCGAGGCTTGCGGCAAGGCGGGGGGGTCGCCTTGACGTACTGCGTAGTACGTAACGCTGCAATGTACGTCGTTTATCCTGCAGTCCTGCTACCATCCGCCGACTGAATGAGGGGCAGGCGCATGCCAGAATCCCAGCCAAGGTTGAACCGCCATTCCTGCAAGCACTCTCTTTCTTCTCCGCCGCGCGACAGCAAACTACGTACTGCACAGCAGCTACCAGGGCTGCCAGGCCATACCCTTCTCCACGGCGGAGCCCTGCGTTATGTATATACCACTTGCTCAGCATTCCCCATCTTGACTTTCCAGGTACCTCGTCTGATTAATCCCATCAGCCTATTCCTCAGCTTTGCGCATCTCTCCGGAACGTGGCGCCTCCCGTCTCTCTTGAACTTGGAGGTTGCTTGTTTTCTGTTCTGACCTGCGATTTCCCTCGGCGGTGCATTCTGTTTTTTTCTTCTTTTTTTCTTTTTTTTCCCTTGCTTCACCAGAAAGCCAAGACGAGTGACCGACGAAGCGAGACTGCGATTCAGCCCACCTGACCTTGCACGCTTGCCTATCTCGAGGCCCCATTGTTGGTGTTCGGGACAGCCTGATTTACGACGCCAGCCTAACTTTTTATCTTTACCACGCATCCCCGACAAACCGAACCACGGCAAACCTTCTCCAGCTTTTGGATATTGAACGTTTTCCCGCATACTAGATCACCAACTTTCCCGAGCCGCCGGCTGATTAACCGCCACCATGCTCGATGAAAACCTTCCAACCTTCCACTTCCGCCCCTCCTCTGACAACCCCTCCAACACGATACTCTACTTTACCCACCAGGGCTCCGATCCTACGCCGCACTACGTTCTCAAACGTGCCGACCCCTCAAACCCGGCCGCCCGTAACAAGTATGCCGCCGGCCTTACAGACATCGCTTCCCAGCATATCATCTACGCCGAGGTCCTCGTCGAGCCGGAATGGTCCCAGCCTACGTTGTCCGCCGCAGAGATCCGTGCCCAAAACGGCGCCCCAGCACCTCCGCAACCCATCCTTCCCGACCAAGTTACCCTTCAGCTCTACAACCCGGACTCACAGGTAACCATAAAGACCAAGGCCGGGAGCTGGGGCAAGAGCGATAGCTGGGAATTTGAGATGCCCGAGCAGAGCTTCCGGGCCCCAAGCGCCAGTATGATCGACCGCTCCACCGACGACCCGCCCATCAGCGACACTGTACCCAAGGTCGTCTTCCGCTGGAAGCGTGATGGGAGGTTGAGCAGGGATATGACGTGCTATATGGTCGGCAAGAGCGTGGCCGGCAAGAAGAGCAAGGAACCTGACATCACGATAGCCATGTTCAAAGACAAGAAACATGAGAGCGCCGTGACTATCTATGAGCCCAACCTCCAGCGCGTGGATGTTGAGGACCGAAAAGGTTTAGACATCGTCCTGTTGCTTGGTGCTGAGGTCCTGCGCGACCTGTTCCTCAATCCTCGCCAAAACGTATTCAACCTTACGGCATCACCGCCGCCCATGTCGGGCCGAAGGAAGAATTCCAAACCCCTTCCGCCACAGCCCACCCCCGTAGCCGCCATGTCCGGCGCGATAGGCAACAAACCTGCCTCTCCGCCGGCACAGCCAATGAATAATGGCGCACCGAGACCTAACGCCCGGCAGCAGTGGGAGATCGATAATGAGACGAAGAGGTTACAGGCTATGGTCGCAGAAGAGCAGCGCCAGGCCCGTGAGAAAGAACGGAGAGATGCTGAAGAGGCGAAGCGCATCAGCAAAATGCTTGAAAACGAAGAGAAGGAGCGCCGGCGGAAGGAGGCCGAAGTCGAGAAGGAGACGGAGCGTTTGAGGAGGTTGTACGGAGTACCGCCCAACGCAACGGCGCCGAACCTGCCGCCTCGTCACCAACCACCTCCCGGTAGCACGCCTGGATCGTGGCACCTTGCCCCGGCCCAGCCGCCTCGTCCTCTTAGCGCAGGGCCGTACCAAAATCAGGGCCCGCCGGGCACCAACGCGTTTCGGCCGCAGCAAGTACACTTTGCGCAGCCGCAACAGCAAGCTCCTTCACCACAGCAGCAGCAGCAGCAGCAGCAGCAGCAGGGCGGCCGAGGCAAGCTTCCGAATCTCGTTTCGGGTCTGCTTCAGGGCCCCTACGGCAACACGGCTGCTAGCGTCAGCAACTTCTTCCATCGCGATCGGGCTGAAGAGGACAGGCGTAACAAAATTGCAAAGAAGAGAAGTGTGCATTTCTAAAGCGGTAGAGACTTGGTTATTACCATCGTTCCTTATTTCTGTTGCATATCTGGCGTTTGAAGGGTTCTCAAGGTCAAGTAGTTTTTGTTTTGGGCGTGATATTTTATATTTCTTTGTTTCTTTGATGGGATATACCACGGGTTACATAGGGTATGTAGATTTACGAATTCATGAATGGTATTCGAAGAATCTTTTCGGGCTGGCTTTACACTTTATATGTGAGGACTACGGAGAATCGTTTTGATGTTCTACGGACTTTATATCTAAATCATTGAAATTTGTTTGTTATGACTTGGTGGATGGTTCAGAGGACCACGGTCAGACAGAATCTGGTATTATGGTCCATACTTGCTTGGCATTATGGCAACTTTGAAAAATCAATATTGCCCTCGGTCCGCGTTGATAGCCGGCAAGCTTTCATCACAGCTGAACTGGTACTAAAAAACCTGGATATCTCACAGATACTTCAACTTCGGCTTCCTCGTTTAGCAGAATTGCTGCTGCGTTTCTAAACGTAGCGGACACAGCGAATGACTTGACAGCTTGCATGTGAGAGCGCATGAGCTTTGGGCCTTTGGAGGCGATCAATGGTATTCTTGCGCCCATAATATTGAAGCTACGGGGCAGTGGACCATGGTGGCCCAGTCGTCATGTCTGATGTGTTTACCTGAATAGCGGCTCCTCAAGTTTCGATACCTCCTGTTCAGCAGGCCTGTTCAGCATATCTATCACCGAGGCCAACTTGGACTTGTGTTCCTTGGGGGTATGGTTATGTAGACGGCCTGTACATCAAGCAGGCCAAGTTTTTTGTGACTTCGGCATTGGCTTCAAAACCATGGTTATAGTGGGCTTTCATTACTATATAAAGGGGCCTGGCTTCCGTCATAGCTCTCGACCGGACTCGACCGACTAGAGCATAGAAGATTCCAACTATAAGCCTCCGCGATACTGCAATATAGTACGAGCTATTATTACAAATACCTTAGTGATGTTCATCCTGAGAATTCGGTGTGCAGATCGCGAACCTTGTCAGTTGATTCGGAAGGGGGGAACCCCTGGGCCCCAAAGCCGTTTATCCGTCGATAAGCTGTATACAGCACGGTTCTCAACTTTTTGGTACTGTAAAGTATTGTCGCTTGCACATCGTTGCCTAACTTGTCTAATTTCTAAAACCTATGAGAGGCTTGGAAATGCGATGTGTTTGGACGTTGAGAAATGGCAAAGGCATGAAAGGTATCACCATAGTATTTGCCCTGGGCCGAGCTATACCATTGTAAAAATGTGCCGGTCTGCAGGTTCGTAGGGCAGTAAGGGGTGACACGAGTATAAAATGGTGGCTTAGGTCTTGTCTTCTTTCCCTTTGAACTATATACCAAGCTTTCGCTCTTTCGCTATCATCACAGTCGATTTACCACTCTCTATCAGATCTAGCAGTGCTACCTGATCGCTTCCTCTACTTCTCCTCTTTTCGCATAAGAATCCAAACCGCCGAACACGTTCCTGCTTTCCATATGCAGCCATCCATCCTGCTAACTGGCGTTCTTGCCGTCTTCTTCGTCGGCGATGTGGGCGCTAAGAATATCATCAACAAGTGCACCGTGGCGCAAGACTGCTGCTTCCAGGGTGTATTTGGCTGTACAAGGCAGAACTCGGGCGACGTCCCATGCGAGGAGGCCACGATCTGCCAATTCGTGAAAGGACCCACCCAGGAAGGGTGTGTAAGTGCTATACCCTCTCTTACCCTGAGATGGGAATCATTCCCCCACTACTCACCCCCTTTCCCCCGTGCGCTAACGGATGATAACTTTAGGGTGCGGATTATTGTAGCATAAAAAACAAGGTTGGAATTCCCTGTCCCGACTAACGGGCAAAATCCCTTGACGGAGATGGAGGGGACAGTTCAAGTTATTGTGCCAGGACGATGGGGACTAGCAGAGCGAGAGAAATTAAAGGGTTAGCGTCGCTGAGGCATACCACGAGCCTCATCCTCCATGGGATTCAAAATGCTGGCCCAGCTCATAGTTTGTTGCCTGGTGCTGCCGTTTAAACCTGCTGCGTTCAGATAGAATAACGCAGTTTCTGAGGTGGTGATCGCCTATGCATAGCTATGATGAAACCAACATCGACATGTGTTTAAGTAGATCGGGATGTTCGTCTCTCGAGGAATTGATCCAATTCTATAGTTCTAGAATGCAAAGTATCCAAGAACAGGTAGTTAAGTATAAGACTCTTGCAGCTGAAGTCGATAATCGTTGTTTACCTTTGAATTGTTGTTGTTGCTTTCTATATATATACTCACGCACCCGAATCTCTCATTCGGTACTCATCTCGGATGTTGCGGTAAACCTTTCTTAGTATGTATAAGAGAGGTCTGTTCCTTGTGCCGTGAACGGTTCAAATTATGTGGCCTCTTTTGGCTCTAGAGCCGGCCCCAGAGGCTGTGGCAGTCATGGAAACCTCCCAAGACAGCCAACCCGATTTAGCCCTATCCCGCCCTTAAATATACTCAGCAATCCTTCAGCTACTTCCACATTGGTAAAAGTCCACCTTCTCATTGACATCATTTGAAATCTTTTATCTTTGATTAAAGCACTCATCTTTTGTTTTTCAACTTGCCTTCTACCTTTTTAATATCCGAAGCTTTTTCAACAAGTCCTATGTAGTCAAGGTATCGAAAGCGGTGGGTTTGAAAGCGTTTCTTTCAGGCCGGATTCAGCTCTAGTAGAACCAAATATTCGTTACGCACGATGTCCGTTTGTCAAATTAGGGTAGAGGCTGGTCGAAAATGGTCGTTCACTTGACCTAGGAAAGAAACCTTTGCCAAAGGTTCTCCAAAGGAAGGCGTTGAGGAAGTGTCGGAGAACAAAATGCAACTGGCTGTTCCTTTTCCAAGGCAACACTCCAGGCAGGCGCAGCCTACAAATCATTCTATGATCAGTTGTTTTTGATTAACCTCATTTATCAATACTCCAGCGGCTTCACGTTGAGGCAAAATTTGTCAAGACGTTGACAAGTCTACAACTAATTGCTGACTAACCAAGCAAGCACACTGCGCAATATGCTTCGACTGACCTCTGATTTATGGAAACTGTCAAGGAATTCTAAGGGGAAAAAAAATTGACAACTCGAAAAAAAAAAAAAAAAAGAAAAAAAATCGATGGTGGATAAAGGTCAAAAAATTACACAGTGCCCAAGGCCAGAATCGAACTGACGATCTTCTCATTTCGAATCGGAGGACCGAATACTAGTGAGACGCTTTACCACTGAGCCACTCGGGCTTTACCTGTGTGCTAAAATACTCCACGAATCCTGACTATAATCCACAACTGAAGGCAGAGACCTTGGAAGCAAGCCACTTGGAGCCCTAAACCAACAGGGGTCTGGTGACAAGACGATGAAGCTCAGCGGGGCAATGCTCAAAGAGGCAACTCATTCAAGGCCATTCGCAAGGGTACAATCAGATGGGAAACGAGACTCGATTGAAGGTAGACTAGGAATACGGATCCAAGTCAAGCTGGATCCAGAAAAACCATGCGCAGTTTGCCCAATCTGATTTGCAATGGAACCTTTCCAGAAACGGCCCCCAAACGATCACTACCATCAGCCTAATGTTGGAAACCAAAAGCAGTTGGGCGCTGCTCCTGACAGCCAATGACAACAATACAATTTGAGCTCCATTCTACCCGGATGTTCAACCTCCCCATAGTATAGTTGTCGAGAAAAAAAACCCACACGCATCAGACGAGAAGCACCAGTCAATCCTACACGACTTCCCTCGCAGCTTCCCCTCTTCATGCAGACAGAACATGATTCAGTCAACGAACATGGACAGTTTCAAAAACACGGAGGTGGGAGGGTAACCACCCACTTTGACACCAACTCATACCTTGCCGCATCCTCTCATGCTGGCCGTCCAGTCTCAGACACCCACACCCGTAAAGGTCGAGACTATCCGTATCCTCAATCTACATGCAACTTGGCGCCTCGCCGTTTACGACTTCAGCTGGATGAGCTTATATCACGACATCTTAGTCCCGCAAGGAAATGTCCGGGCTCCCGCCCGCTCGTCCATCCAATTCAAGGGATTGAACCCTGCCTCCCCCTCCTGAAGCACGTAAGAGCCGCCCGTCCACAAACAGCAAACACTTGTCAAAAAGGTGAGATCAATCGAACATGTGGGGATTATCGGCATGACAAAGAGCAGCACGTCTCGTCGTCACTGGGACCGAATAGCCTGTAACAGTCGATGCCGCGCCCGGATAACCCAGTCCGCCATCTAGCCTCCCGCGCACCCGTGACATCTTAGCCCTACGACGCACGGCTAGTCTTCTTCCCTTTTCCTCTGACAGAAGTGTGAAGGGCATGATAAGTAAAGCTAGCTGCTCTCGGCCCTTGACTTCACCTCCCCATTCCCGCCGCGATACCTGGATGGGAGGAACAACAGCAAGCGGGCAAGACATGCCTCGTATACGTAGTACAAGAAAAGGAACGTGTCTCTCCTTCAGAGTCACGCGGGCGCCTCGGCAAAGCGCTCTCGACCTCCTGCACATCTCAACTTATTTAGGCCGATAAAACCTCGTGTTCAGAGCATCGCCTGTATCCCAAACATTGCCCATCCCGTACCGGCCCCTTAGGCGAATCCAAACCCGACTCTCCGCTCCGTCTCCGGGTGTCGCACGCCATCTCCCCGAGGCCATGACCTAAGGGGGTGAGCCTCAGAACCAAACGAACTTGCCCGTATTACATCCTTCAGCGACGTCTTCCTCTCCCGCTCCAAACCATCCCACAAACATCCTTGAATCCACACTTTCCAGCCCCCAAGCTTGCCAAAGGCACTTGCTTCCTGTAAGTGGGTGCCACTCCGCCCACCAGGCTGAGACGCCCTACTCGCCTTCCAGAGCACCCGAATACTACTCTCCCGGTAGCCCGTCACGACAATCATCTTATGAAAATGGCCAACACCCAAGACCAGCGTACCAGAACGGAACAAGAAGTCACCAGTATGTCTATTTGTGGCGCACATCGATGTCCCCGTGAACCTTGTTCAATCCCGTCAATTAGCCAACCCCGGACCTGCCCCTTCCCCTCTTCTTCTCCCACATCGATCGGACGCAAGGTCCCCAAACCCACACAGTCCAACGTCCGGCACAGCCTCATCGTCGTCCCCTCACCTGATTGACTCCTTTCCGAACCAAACTTCGGTCATCCATGGCGTCGCTGAGCTGCTCGTCATCCCATCCTGAGACGGATCTCCCTATGTTTCTGGAAGCCAAAACCTGGACGAGATCGCCTTCTTGGCGGACGTTGAAATTATTAACGTAAGCACTTCAGGGACACATCTCTGTTGTTTTCAGATCTATGCACACATACACTTCAATTGCAAGTAGATTGCCCCCGGACCAGAGCATACGTCCGATCAAGTATCGAGTAAATAATGTCAAAATGCAAATAAGCTCCTTTTGATAGCTTTCACGACTTCTCATGGGCTACGCAGAGCGGATGCCACTTCCCTGACCATATCCAAGAGATTGCCCGCCTCACTTAATAAAATCGGTTACACGTTCGCTCCGCGGCTGATCAGATCACCTCCCAGGCAAGTATTGACAGGCACCACACTCTATTCCCGCTTACACCCAGCGTAAGCCCCATCCAAACCCCTTGAGCCCCCTCCCATGAGGCTAAATATCTGAACAGTGTCGAAATTGATTGCTCCACCGCGGTGATTTCTGGTCCAATGTCGCGTCCTAGGTTTTATAGCTGGTACATTGAAAAAATAATAGTATTGCTCGGATCCATGTTTCGAGTTCGGACAGCCCAGGAACAGATGCGAGACGAAGCACCATGGAGAAACCCCGCTCAATCAAGCCCACACAATGTTTCCGCGACAGGTATTCCAAAGCCGTCGTGTCTCCCCCTCGCGCAACGCTATGCAGGTGAACCCCAACTCCGTTATGCTCTTGTCCAGTTGAGCTTGCAGCCTAGTAATCCCACATGTGGCCGCATTTCCACACAAAATAATTCGCACGGGAAAATAAGTCAAATCATCAAAGGGTAAGCGTCGAGAATAATCAGCAGTGGTATCACCCCCTATATGATACCGCCCGGTGGATCATAGCCCGTTGCTGCGCCTCTGGCCGTAAGCCCTGCGCTACCCGGTTGTTCTGACGATAAATCGACTTGCGCGTTGTTCGTCTTTCGTAACATGAACATTGGCTTCTTGCCCTCTTTATCGAGCTGCTTGAAGAGGATAAGTGGCTTTTCGTCCAATCCTAGGCAGCGCTCCTGATCTCCATAGACGATGTAAAGGGCGTATTGATCCCAAGGCGCGTTGATTTGGTATTTCTTAAGCGCGGCAGGGAGCACTTTGTAGCATGGATCGTCCATGCTAACTCGGAAGGACTTGAAGATTTCGACGGACGCGTTGCTTGTACTGGGAGTGTCGGGGGCAGGCGTCGGACCCCGCCGCGGTGCCACTGGCTGCTCTCGGCCTTTGTACCCGTGGTCGTTTTCGGCAAAGGTTGATCTTGTTGACGGAGTTGGTATATCGGATCGATAGGATCGCGACCCGAGTGTTGCGCCGCCGAGGGTTGGAGGAGATGTTGGGGAAGGCATGTTCGGAGAGGGATAACCGGGTGAGGTGGCAGTAGCAGAGCCGTTCATGGCAGCCAGGTGTGAGGATGATAGAACAGCTCTTTCGGCCGCATTCGACGGGTCCAACGACTGTTCCATTCTCTCGTGGGTTGTCTGAAGATGTGACGGTGACGTGTTCTTCGGCGTCGTTCCAAGCATAATCTTCTTTGTAGAGTATTGTCTTTTCAGGCTCATCGATTGAGTGGAGGAGGGTGTTGGGGCGGGGGGCGAAACGGTTTCGTATCCGTAACTTTGGTTGTTGCTTGACACATTGGGTAGTGGCTGGGAGGAGTCCTTTGCTAGCCGTAATGCAGGCAGCATGTCCTCCCGCAAGCGTCTGAAATCATCTGTCAGTCGACGCAAGTCCTGCTCCACGAGGCTCATCCGCTCGTCTCGCAGGCGGAGCTGCTCGACCAAATGCTTGATGTCTTTTAGTGTTGCTGTCGCGTATTGTGCTTCGGCGTCGGCAGCTGTAAAAAAGAAGCGAGAGGTCAGCGATGAGTTCTTGTGAGATGGTGTGTGGTACCTACACAGCGGCACATAATGATCGCTTTCTATTGGAATGTCCTGTGCCTTTTTTACATCATAGACGCTCTTTAGTATGGTAAGGCGATGGCCGACACTGGCAATGCCCATAGATTTGAGGTCGTCATGTTGCAGGGCGACCAAAGCCTCGCCGACGATTTCATTCTCTAATGAAACACACATCAATCAGCCAGCCGTTACAACGATAAAGCCGAAAATTATCAAAAACCCGTAGCGTCAACTCACCAACGAAGCGGTCGGCATATTGCGGCAAGCCAATTGTGCTGATGAAGTCGGCGCACTCATCGGCAGTCCACTCGGAGATGATGGTCTCGGGCAAGCGGTCGGCGCTGCTGCGGTGGCCGTAGGTAGTAGGGGTGTGTTCGCTGGACGAGGGCAGTTCGGAATCGATTGGTGATGCCTCACTATTAGTGACTGGCGAGTTGGGACCCAGGCTGCGCTCGTACTCGTCGTCGGCATCCGACTCCGCGTAGGCAGTGCCTGAATCGAAGTTCATGACTGTTGTTGTGATCAAGGCTGGGGATGATGCACGTCGACGAGGGGAAGAAGGACGGCGGTGGTAGCGGCAGCAACAGCAGTGGTGATAGAAGTAGTACTAGTACTAGTAGCTGCGACTGCAGCGGCGACGGCAGCGGCGGCAGGAGAAGGATGCTGCAGGAAGACAAATAATGGAAGAAGAGGAGAAAAGACAGGATGACGAATCCGAGGAGTGTCGAGAAGCGCCGACGGTGCCCTCAGCGTGAGGAGGTCGTGGCGGCGGCGGCGGGGGCCCGTTGCAGAAGAGATTAGAACTGTGGAAGCAGCACACAGAGTCGGGCAGACAGCGGAGGGATCACGAGCATCGAAACCTCGGGTATCCGGTCGCTCTCGTCAATTTGCAGTGAAGGACGAGGTTAGAGATGGAAAGAGGTAGTCGTCGTCGAGAGGCTCAATAGGACTTACGCTAGACTAGACTGCAGAAGTAGGAGGACAGGTCAGGTCGAAGATGGGATCGTCGTTCAGGTTCGGGGCTCAGGCGAAAACGGTGGAGGAAGTTCTGGCAGTGAGCACGGGGAAAGGATAGGATTGGATTGCGTTGGAGTAAAAGGTGCAGGGCAGGTACAAAGGTTTGGGCGGGGGGTTGGCTGTTGTGACAAGTACCCCCAAACTAAAGCAGGCACAACCTGGGATACAGGAACTGTGTGATTGTGCTGGTGCTGGTGCTGTGGCCGTTGCCAGGAAATGCTGCGCGCCGTTTCCCCTCCTTCGTCTCCCCGTGTGTGGGTGGTGCCCTGCGATGCAGTGGTGCTGACGGTGCTGAACTGAACCAGGTCCACAATCCACTCCAAGTGTGCTAAGTGGGTGTATGGTCTATGTAGGACCCCAGCAGTGCTTCTGCCCGCCATCCAGTGAAAAGAGCGCCTAGGTGCCTGTGCCAGCCCAGCACCAGTAGTAGCGTAATGGTTATGGATACCTCACAGATGTTGCGTACCTTGGGTGCTTGGCCCAGCCAGGGCAAGGATCGGCCCACTACCAACTGGGATACCACCTTTTTAAGAGGAGGGAAATGCCCCATTTTCTGCCCGGCCGCACGACATGGGCCCTTTTTTTTTTTTTTTTTTCCCCTCTCTCTTTTTACAACACTGCGAGGTGCGCGGTGTACACCCGAGGGGTCCTTCCTTGAAGTTGAAGGGAGGACCCCATTCGTCTGCTCCCATGCTTGTCTCGAAATAGCCGCTCTCCAGAACACAGTCCATGCTCGATGATGCCGACTTCTGTGATGCTGGGGGCTGTGTGATGTTTGATGTCTTACTGAATCGTTCTGGTAGCTTTACATTGTGGCCCCCTTGCCTCCTTTTTTGAACAACTTGAAAACAGAACATCTTCGAAACGAAACAGTATCAACACCAACTAAAAAAACAACACCTCTCTCTCACACATTCTCTGAGCCAATGCCAACAATCCTCATGTCGCCGGCCCATTGCGGCGGCCCCAAAGCGCCTTAGCGCCCAAGGGGGCCATCCCTGCGGCATCAACTCGATCCAATTGCTTGCTTCAAATTGCCCTCCGAACTTGAGAAACTGCTCCTTGACCTGTTCTTGCCCTCACTTACACACCCACTAGTAGTATTACATGGTATAAATCTCATCTTTTATGCCGTACCATGCCATGCCTTGAACCTACGCAAAACTTTCTCCGGATCCTTTTCTAGTAGAACCACTCTTTTCTGTTACATGAACAGACGGACAAGCTTGTTGCTGCTGTCTTTTATATTCTTACCAGCCACTCTCTCCTCTTTGATTCTCCTGGAAGTGTTCCATCCGTGCCACGGACGGTATAGTCCTTAGAGGTACGTGGTATATGTTTGACCCCGATGAGGTAGATGTAAAATGCGATTGGCATGTTCCAGAAGCCAGCTCGCCGTCCCCATTGGATCCTTCATGTACCACAGAAATGAAGGTAGACAAAAGAATAAGAAAATAAGGGGAATTGACCCAGAGAAACTAGAGACTTTGACGGCCTCCAATATGAAAAACGGCCTGGTCACTCGGTAATTGGAACCGAGTTGCCCAGCCGTTACCAATCGATTTTCCACAGAGCGGAGCCCACTCTTGCCCCTACACTACAGAGTACGTAGTAGTATTGGTACCTGCTTTCCTAGCATGGCCTACGGAGGAGGAGGAGACAGTGTGGCTCGTCCACGACAATGATAACTCTGCCCACCTTTCCCCCCCAAACTGCCCTACTACTACCCTTTGTACCCAGCCGCCCATGCCAACAAAATCCACTTCTGGTTGACACTGTTCTTTCTCCTCCGCGTCTTCTCAATTCTCTATTGGAAAAGAAAATGACAAGTCGTCTCCCTCCCGTCCGTGTTTAATAACGATTATCCCTTTTCTCCCTACCTCAATTTCGACAACTCAACACTACAGGGTCCTAAAGGTCAAGATAAGACAGGAGAGGAAAGAAAGGAGGCAAAAAAAAAAAAAAAAAAAAGACAGGAACCCACGCCCAAGAACCATGTGGTGAAGTCATTATCAGATGCTTTTGCCGCTTGCCTCTTTGCTTTACCGTCCAAGCACCGTGCCTCTCAACCCGCCACAGTTAAATCTGCAGTTATGACAGTATACGGATTGATTCTTGTGCCAAGGATCTGCCCCGACTCTTGTCTCCCTCCTCCAAGGTATATCAACTGTGCCAGTGTAACCGCCTTGGCAAAAAGTGCCTGTGCAGGGTACCCTCTTCATCACCCGGCAAGAGTCCCGACGGTAGACTTCACACTTCCTCTCTCCAAAACGGCGCCTCCAAGGTTGATACTGGTAGATGCCCATATGCAAACCCTATCCCAGAAACACGCCAGCTACCTCATGTACACGACCTCACCTTGTCAATATGTAGCTTAACCCACCAGGGGGGGCACGTATGCTCCATTCGTAGCTTTCTACCTTCGGCTGCCCCTCAAAAAGAAAAATAAAACATCCGACTGGGCCTTGAACCGGAGACTGGTGGTCTTGACTAGATCAGAGGCTCAAAATGACATTAAAGAGATTCACGTACATCGCCCACCGTCTGGCCAAACGGAACGAGCACAGTCGCCTACGCGTTCCCGAGTGCCCAGTGTCAACGGGGCACCGTTATTCTAGACCTTCATCGCCCACGCTTCTTAGATCCAGCCTATCCCACAATTCCCCAGCTGCTCCATTCAACCTCAACATCGGGCCGGAAGCCAAATCGTAATTGAGGCATTTTAGGCCATCAAGAAGAGAATCTTTTCTGATATCTCAAGCCTTGCAAAAGGGCTGAGCGACTCATTAAACGGATGTCGTCCATCATTTAACATTATGGATCGGCATCCACCTGCCGCCACTGCAGCTTCCATGCTTGTCAACACCAGGAGTCTTGGCACTATACAGCAAACTTGGAAGCATCACACCCAGCTTCCAGCTGCAACTTGCTGGACCCCAATTTAAAAATGGAATCCTACAACGCTATTATGTCTGCCAAGATCAAAAAAAGGTCCCTAACAAAGCACAACTGCTCGACAATGACAGCGCCTTAGTCAAGCCCTGCGTCGATCATCTCCGGCTTCCCGGCGGTCGCCGGCCTCTTGATCAGCGTGTCGGACATCTCTACTTGTGCAACGCCTGTTATTATTCGCAGTCCCCCTACAACGGTGCAACGGCATTGTCATTAAGTCTTGATTACTTGATCGTCCTCTTTGAGCTGATATTGACTTGGCCATGTTTTCTCGGCTAGTCCGGTAGACATTGCGTGAATAGCCCTTTCATCTTATCTTATCCTCAACTTCAGGGTTAGCTCAAGGCGAAGCAAGACGCAAATACTTAGATCAACCCATACATCCCCCTCACGGTTCAGGTCGCGCACGCTCTGCGGACCCATCCGGATAGACGCTCAAAAGTATCGAGGGCATCATTCACAAATCCATACGATGCCAAGACTAAACCATTCTGTATCTGGCTCGCCTAGCCAACCCTATCAGCAATGGCATACTGGTATTTTCTTCTATCAAGCCGCGAAGGCTTAGAGTAACCAACCGCTAGCCGAGGAGAAGGTTAAGGTCCAAGTTTCAGTATCGTTGTCAACTCTCACAGCACATCACGCAGTGAAAACCCAGAGGCGCAAAACGTACCTATCGTAGGGTTTGACTTAGCGTCCCAGACTCTTGGACCAGCATCCCGTACCATTATGACCTTTCCGATGCCATAAAGACTAGGGCCGCCTCCTATTGTCTCCAATCTCCATATCACTAGATACATCTGATGCATGCGACGTTGTCCAGGGCAATCGTACAACATCTTAGAATGCGAGAAAGAAATGTTTGACAAGTTATATCTCATGACAAGAAAGGGAAATTCGTGATCAAGCCACCAGATCATCAGAACCCTTTGACAACGTGTGTTAGATCCGGCATCGCCTTGCTTCTCTAATAGAGGAGCATATGTTGTGGGGTAAACCAGTTATTTCCAGAGCCACCTCCCATCCTTCCAAATTCCTCTTTACCTAGAGATGCCCCGAGCATCCGTTGAGAACCCTGGACCTCCGGTAGACGCACACTCCCCACGAGCATCACGCCGTCTACAGCCAGGCCTAAACCGGTATCGCCGCTCTTCCAAAACAGGCAAAGACTCTCTTCATCTCGTCCACCCCAAAAACCCGCATCCTGAATTAACTTCGACGCTAAAGCATCTACGCCTGGCGCCTTCGCTATCTCACACCAGATATTAGGTTGGTACCCGAACTACTTACTATTCGTTCGGCCGAGACACATTGTTACCCTGTCACTCTTTTCTCCCCTGTCTCCAATTCGCAGAGCTGGGAACTTTCGAGAGTCCGTGCCTAAGCTTAAGCACAGTGGGGAATCGATCAGCGCCATGATCAAAAGTCTATGAGGAAAGATGCTACTTTTATTCGTGTTCCATGCCCATCAAAAATTCCGATCAAAGCCCGATACTTTGGCCCTCATGGAATTCTGTAATGCTAGTCAACAAGGTCCCC